GGTGGTTTGACTGATTGATTGATTGTTTTCATATGCTCAAATGATGTTCTTCTGAAGTCATACAGGTTTTGACCAACATAAGGGTGATTAAATATTGACAGAAATGTTGGTGAACTTTTCCTTCAATTTCTTTGGACAGCTTTTAACATACTGTATAGCAATCTCCAAATCTTAGACTCATTTGTTATTTGTTATGATCAAAGCTAACACGTGTGTTCCATCCAGGCACTTCTCTAAACAACAATCACCGTATTAAATCAAGTAATATTGATTCTGACTCAAAGAGCTTTAAAGAACAGAGGATACATATAACTGACTGGTTCTAGAACACAAAACCAGCACTAATAACAGTGTACATGAGAGAGCCAAGGCAGAAAGACACTTGATTACACACTGTGAACTTTATCCAGCACATTAGAAAGCCTTCAGCACAAATACAGTCAGCTTCCTCAGGGAAATAATATATATCCGTGATCTGTTGAGCCATATCTCTGGTTTGTTAGGATTTCAGGCGCAGGATACCATGCTAGATCAGCACTCATTGGTATCATGTTCAGCCCGTATAATGAGCAGAGAAGCCTAGAGAAATCTGAGTTCTGTGTTTGGTGGCAGCCAGAGGCTACTTGGCTCAATGCCTGCTGCCCACGCTGTCTGCCTACACCACAAATCACATACCGAAATCTCAAAGTTATCTTGGCGCTAACCTCTCAATGTCCCTCATTAGCTACAGAGACCAGTATGTTAATATCTGCTAACCCATACTAATAAACCTATGTAATGATCAATGATGCTGTATCACAAGGTAATCATAGTCATGCTGACATATGTCCATAACACAACTATTACTAGCAACACTGGTTATACAACAGCTCAAGGCACATGTATGTAAATAAAAGAGGAAAAAACAAGGATTTGTCCTAAAAGTCCCTCTGTGCACCTACTTTCTTATGCCAAGGATTCAGCATCTGCCATTTCTAGCTTTTGTCAATGACTAAAAAGTTGTTATTGACGACTAAGAAGTTTGGAGTAACAAGGAAGCAGAATGCTTGCTTTTATAAAACTTACATTTAAACTGCTAGTTTTGTGTTCGAAATTCAAAATTGCATATTTCCCCTACTCAAGTACAGCTACGTTCACACAGTCAGTGTTTATGACTGACAACCATATTTACTATCGGTTGTAACTCTCAAATTGTCCTGTTCATACAACAAATGTGGCTCGAAATCTGTCTGTATGAGTGAATAATGTCAAGCCCCTACTCTCATCAGCCATATTATTTCAGCTATCCTTCATGTCTATAGCATAACATTGCTGAATTAATGCAAATCCATTGCATATTCAAGGGCCCTTTTGTCACAGATTTGTCATTTTAGACAAATCTCGCCCAAAAATTAGACTTAGAATTCACTGAAAATCGAAACCATATAGAATTTTAAGAAATGCAAAAAAGCTTAGTTATATCACCACATTTCCAGCCGACAAAAGTGTGTACCACCAATCACACATTTGCACTCAAAATAGTATGTTTTCAGGCGGTTGGCTAAGCTGTGATTGAATTTCTCAGTGCTCTTTGCCTCTGTTCTGGCGTATAATGAGTTGTATAATGAGATATTATGCAAAGCCCCTTCTCCAGCCACCAACAGGGCGCTTCAAGCTGTTCTTATTAAAATAAAAAATAACACACATTTACCATTGCATTGTTTTATGTAAGCTCCTTCCAAAATGCTTTTTCATTTCACAAATACTTCCAGAGTTAACTGAAACTTGAGATTAATACAAACTTCTTAGGCCCTGTAAATTAATCTCAGGGCCTTCACTAAATTTCCTATTTTTATGTATGGGCCACCTCTCCAGACCCAGTAAGTAGACTACGCCATAGAAGAACTTAGTGGGCCCCACTTGGCACAGCTGTGATTACTCTAAGTATTTTAGAAGTATTAATATTGAGGCTTAAAGCTATTTGCCAGTGCTGAGAAGAATGCCGTGGGAAATGTAACAGAAGCTTATTTTTGTAAGGGGAGAGTGCTCACAGACCATATGCTTTATTGAGTGCTCGCATTCACCTCCTAAGATTGATAATTAACATTTCTTTGGTGTTTAACATTATTTAAAGTGCCAAAACGAGCCAGTTTAGTGTGCCATAACAATGGAAAATGTCAATTACAGTATTAAGCAATGCTTTATCACAAAAGACCAACTTGTTCCATGTATACTATACTTTATGTTATGACTCTTTTTCTGTTTGGGGATAGGAGGCCCTATTGTGATTTTGGGCATCTCATTAGCCTATTCAGGAGGCAGACAGTGTGTTCAAATGCTCTGTGTGTCCTCAGGTAAAGGTTTCTCAAGGTCTCCCTCGACTATTTGATTGTTTTGGCTCCATGCTCTGCGTTCAAATGCGACTCTGAGCTGCAGTGTAGAAAGCACCTAAATTAATTTGCCAGCTGTGGCTTAGAGACAAGGCTGGAATGATGAAAAGCATGCATTTCCTCCCGCTGTTGGAGGACAGCAGAGAGAGAGAGGGGGGATCGTGAAAAGAAAGCAAAATGAAGGATCCATATGCGCCTCACAGGGTGCGAGAAAGGGAGGAATGCAGCCTTATTGATGGGCACAAACTGACAGGATAGATAGATAGATAGATAGATAGATAGATAGATAGATAGATAGATAGATAGATAGATAGATAGATAGATAGATAGATAGATAGATAGATAGATAGATAGATAGATAGATTAATCTGAGATCTTCTCCTTTATACAAGGGGATATGGGGTTTCAGTTAAGGTATGCTTGGTCTAGTAGTTTAGGACCTGTTTAATAGGACCCGTGAGATAACTGCTACCTGTCATTTTGTGTGGTAATTTATATGGCTTGGCAATAAATTGTTCCAGGTTCAGTACAAGTTAAACTTTATGATTACAAAGCAAATCTGACTTTCCAACAGTTTGTAAAAACAAGCAAAAAAGACCTGTGTACAGTAATGCACTTACAATTTATCTAAGGGGAAATGTACTGCACTTGGTTAAACATCATAAAACATACTGTTTCTGAAATAAAGCCACAAGACTTTAACATGACTAGAAACCGGAGGGATAAAATTGGTTAATTGTTGCACAGCTCTCTGGAAATGTAACCTTTAGTTTGATTTTCTTTAGTATTTTTCAATTGTTAGTGTATGTTTATTGTTTTCCCTATGCCTTGATTGTTGCCATGGTTATGATCACCCGTGTCTTGTTCAGTTTCTTGTTATCCTGTGTGCATTTCAGCCCTGTTTGTTTTTGCCCTCTGGTCAATCACGGTCATATTTTTCCTAATAGTCCCTGTTGTCAAGGCAATGCTGTTTATCAGTCCACTCATCCGGGTAACTGAAACCACCTGTACTTTTACATCTCTCATACTACACTCGGCCTGTATCCAAAATCACCCCTAATACCAACACAATCTCATTTTGGCACATTGATGGTTAATTCGCATGAATTCATATAATCTCATTCTCAGGTTTAGAGATGATCTGTTTATGCCCCATAGTGACGGTTATGTTTAGAGGTGGGTTCAAGTGTTGAAAATTCCCACGTCTTGTCAGAAGCTGACATCCGCAGCACTTTTGCTGCACTTAGTGTCCAAATTCACTCTCTTTTATTTCTTACAACTGCAGTTGGCACCATCTTGTGTCTCACACAGTTATCAGTTGTAGTGAAAATGACCTCAGACGACTTCAGTGTATTACTGTAATATTGTTGCAGTGTTAATCTTATTGCTAGGCAGATTGTTTTGTGCATTGTAGTGGGCTATTTATAAAAAGTACTCTCGAATCACTATTTAATGGTTTTATTTGTATTTTTTAATTGCTGAGTTGTACTGTATGTACAGTCAGATATTTGCCGCATTATTGACCAGTGCACTGTACATAAATCATCCCTTATTTACTAACCTTGTCTGCTGCCATAATAATGTAAATCCAGCAACTTTCACATTTTAAAGTAATACCAGAAAGTGAAAGAAAAACTCCACTCCAATTATATGCAATAGTCCATGCATCTAAATCAGAAGTCATGCCACTAAAATAGCCTTTGTAAACTGATTAATACACATATTTGTATAGAAGAATTAATATAGCACTTAATATAATTAATAAAATATGATCTTCCATTGTAAATGCATTACTGAGGGACAAGTACAATTATTTTCTGTGGCATATGACAGTATGACACAGATGCTGTTGACAACCAAAGAAAAACAATTAGATTTGTCCTTCAGTTTGCAAAAACAAAAAACGTGCTAGTTTTGAAACTACAACCTTTCATTCCTTTTATAGAGAAACATATTTACTCAAGGTTACCATATGAGCACACTTATATTGTGCTTTTTTTGACAGTGAACTTTCGTGTTACTTTTTCCAGTTAAATTATTTTATGACTAATTGATTTGATTAATATTTTGCAAACAATAGTTTTGTCACTGGCAATTAGTCTCTCATGCAATAATTATGCTTCAGAAAATAAGCTCTTGTGGCCTTTTAAAAGTTCACGGAACAACAGCTGGAGACAGAGCAGAGGGGGAAATGATAAACAGAACGTGAATGTCTGAAACAGAGTAGGAGTGTGAGTGAGACACTTAGGTGAGCATGTGTGTGCATATGCATGAACCCATCAATGTGTTTAAAAATGAGAAAACAGAACAGTGAGTAAGAGATGAGTGGTGTTAAAAGAGAGCAAAGGGCAGGCAGAAGAAAAAAAGAGAAACATCATGAAAGAAACAGCTTCAGCTACAGTGCAGGTAATGGAGGAAGAGAGGAGATGGATGTAAGCCAAGTCTCTCAGCATTCCCTCCCCCTGTACAGGCCAGCTCAGAGGAGGAGTGTAGGTGGGAGTTAAGCACTTCTCCAGATGTAGTTGAATGCTGCTCCTGGAGTCTGACTTACTCATATAAGCCTCCATCACTTGGAGTTCCCAACAGTTCTTGCTCAGTCAAGTACAGGGATAAACAAAATTACGGAACGTTTGCGAGTCATCTGCAAACAATTACACACTTCGTCTTCACCTGTAACGTTTTCTCAACAGGAATCTTGAGGTAAGACGCAATATTTGTTCCAAGATACTCAAGTTGAGATCTGTCTCAGCATCTAATTATCAGAAATAGCATGCCATTTTTTTTTCTTCTGAACTTTCTTGCTCATAAATATTCCAGTGCATATTAAAAAGTTCACTGTAGTTCCCCTTGGTCATTAGGACCTGAGTTGTTCTCAAATGTATCCTATTCAAATAAATTCACATAAATTTTGACTTAAACAGAACTGAACCCTGAGCAGAAGTTAACTTCAAAAGAAGTGTTGAGGTTTGATGATCTTAAAATATCTTTGATATAATTATGTATGAATTCAGTTAATATTTTAAAAGTGAAGTAAATCTCCGTCTGAGGTCCAGGGCAATCATCAGCCAGTATTCTACAGTAATTCAAGCCACCAAAGATCAATTTGAATTCATTTTAACATAAATTATGCCATCAAAAGTCAAAACAGAACTAATTTCTATAAATGTTTAATATTACTAGAGACCCTTTCCTTTGCAAGATATTGGAAAATTATTATTGTGCTTTATTGCATAAGCTACCACTAGAATTTTTCTACAGGAAAGAGAAATAGTAATGTATAACATACGTTTAGAGGTGGAGTGTAAGTAGTTTTCTGTGAAACAGTTAGGTTAATCATAATGGATTAAAATACCAAGACAGAAAATACTGGATGTAAATTGCTTGGTTTATTTACAGGCCAATGTTGCAAACAGCATGAAAGAGACAGGAATGCAGTGGGAATAAAATTGTCCAAAATAGTCATCATGGGTCATTATCGGGCCTCTGTCAGATGAATAAATCATGCCTGACGTTTCACCTTTTGGCCGCCCTGCACTAAACAACAGATATGAGCAACCTAAGCTGGCAGAAAGGAAAAGTAATCAAAATGCAAAACAGGGGCCTTACCATCTTTCTGTGCCTTGGAATCCAAATATTCTTGTATTTAGGAAGTGTAGCAATTGTCTTCTTCCTCTTAAATGTAGTTTGTGTAATTAAGCTGTGGATGAGTTGCCCGCTTGTGGTAGGAAACCCATGCAATGCTCTTCCTGAGACAAACACTTGAGCAATGATTTATTTTGTGTGGGCTCAGCAGCTCTGTGGTGGAGGACAGACACTACACTTAAAAAATAACAATATAATTGCTGTATGTACAAAACAGTAAATATTCATAAATATGTGCAGTAATCATACAGTATTTAGTTGAATTACATCACAGTGTCTACAGATTAATAGTAAAAAAAAAAATTTGGTGAAACAATATGTACTTGCACAGTGTTTTTCTTATAATGGATTGCTTTAAATGTGTAACATATATCAACTAAATTGATATGTAATATGTTTCTTGAGTTAGAATTATCCTCTCAAAGAGACATCGGTGGTTAAAAAGATCATGACAGACTAACAATATGTTGCAATAAGTTATGTGTGCGAGTCAGGCATGTGCACAACTTTCAGAGGTTGATGAGTCATCATACTTCAGAAGTAGTGTCACATGGCATCCATAAAAAGCTCATATGAGACATTCAACATCAACTCAAATGTTCAGTGATTTGCTTGCTTTTTACTGTAAGTTATTTTTAGCTTATGCAAGTAAAAATTGCAGACTGATTGCTGTATCAACAAATTGTTTACATTGTATGCAATGTAAAACTCTGCTTTGCAGTCACACCGTTCCTAAATCAGATAATGGCATGAGAGGGACATGGCTCCAGTGGGTGTACCTGCTCTCTTACTGTTGGCATCTTGCCTGCTGTTCATCTTGCCCTCATGCCTCTATGCGTGTCCGAGGTCCTGCAGTTGCCCCAGCCCTAAAGAGGTGCACTGTACCTTCCGTCACCTACCCTCTGCCCCACAAAACCTACCCAAGGACACTGAGAGACTCAACCTAGGGTAGGATACTGTGTAGTTGTCTTTAGAAGATGATAGACTTAAAATGAAGGGGAAAAAAGTATTTTGACACATTGTGGTTGTGAATAGGTCATGTTGTTCCAAAACTGTATGACTTTCTTCTGTGGAACACAAAAGAACAAACAGAGTGTTTTTTGTTGCCCATACAATGGAAGTCAATGGTAACCAGAACTTTTTTGGAACCAACATTTTTCAAAATATCTTCTTTTTTGTTCCACAGAAGAAAGTAAGTCACATTTTATGTTTGGGTGAACTATCACTTTAATGTGCTGAGCTACACCTGTGGTTAATGTTGGAACTAGAGGAGAACTGACTTCATACAGCACCTAAAAATCACCAAAACACCAGTTGGGTAAAATTAAGTCAATTACAACCAAAATTGGTGCTGATTACTCTGCATCTCACAAAATTAGAGGGTAATTGATTTGATATGTTTTAAGCTAACATTTTTTTCGCAACTATCTTTGCTTTCTGTAAAGCTATAACAGCATCGGCACGGTTGGGTCTTCAGATTTTGCAAACCTGCGGCAATTGGAAATGCTCATGCTCCATGGAAACGATATCTCCTCCGTCTCTTCCGGATCCTTTTACCACCTCCGTTCCCTCCAGGTATAAGTTCATATGAGATGCACATCAAACACATTATACTCGTCTACTGTACTGTAGCATCTTTGTGTCTCTAATTTTCTATAAATAGTTAAGAAATTGCATTGGGGTATAATTGATGTTCTTTATTGGCACAGATACTCAAGTTGAGCTACAACAAACTCAAAAGAGTTGACCCCAGCTTGTTCGAGGGCTTGACCAGCCTTGTACGGCTTCATTTAGACCACAACCTCATTGACTTCATTGAGCCTTTTTCATTTACTGGACTCACATCATTAAAGCTATTGCAACTGGAGGGGAACCGACTGCAGGACCTCCACTCTCACACATTTATTACTGTCTCAGTCCTGGGTACATTTTGGAGCTCAGGACTGCGGCATCTGCACCTAGCAGACAACCAACTAGAATACCTGCTGCCTGGAACTCTGCAGCACTTAGACAGGCTAGAAGTCCTCTCTCTACATGGAAACCCCTGGGCCTGTGACTGCCACTTACATTGGTTGTTGGAGTGGGACAAAAATCATGAGGGTGAAAGTTCTTTGATTGTATTTTCCAAACTTTGCACCACTCACTCAGATTGTTTTGTAATGGCAATGAATAAAATCCCATTGCACACAAATATATAGAACTTCACATATAGTGTTTATACATCATTTATTCAAGATTGTTACATTTATCATCACTGTCCTAGATGCACTGTATTGTTACATTGCATTTAAGGTTGAAAGAGCACAACTGACTCCACTGACTGCAAATAACTACAAGGAAAACAAATATTTTTTTTATTATTATTATTATTTAAATTCTCTATCTCTCTTTTTACAGGAGTTATTAAGTGCAAAAAGGACCGTGAATCTGGAGATGCTGGCAACTGTGCTGCTTGTGCCTCACCAAAGCCTTTGAACAACAGCCAGATCTTGCAGCTTTCAACCAGCCAGCTCACCTGTTACCAACCCTCCCTTCAATCCCCACTTAAAATTGGGGAGAGTAGCATGTGGGAAAATCAGGAGCCAGATGCCCCCTACATCAAGGACCTGGAGCATCCTCTTGGCCATCTGACATTCATTCTCTCTGACAGTCATGGGAATCGGGCACACGTGGCTTGTAATGTAACACGTCCTGTTGAAGACACCTCCATGGTGTGGGAGCCAGTGAGGAGAACAGATGAGATTGCTGTAAATGTGACTCTACGGACACTTCTGGAGTGTGAGATCGATAGAGACGCTCTTCAGAACCTGTGGAGGTTGGTTGCCTACTACTATGAGAGCCCAGCCATTTTGGAACGGGGAACCAGACTTGGGAATTCTTCAAAGGTGACTTTTCAGTACTCTCAAGCCTCACATGAGGAATCACCATATTTCACAGAGCTCAAAGGACACTTAATGGCTGAACCAGCCTGGCTTTTACAACCAAGGGTCACCCTTCAGCTGAACCGGCGCAAAACAACAACTAAAAAACTGGTGCTGAACTTCTCCACTTTTATATCAAAGCACATCATTGGAAGAGGGGATGAGGAGGATGTAGTCTCCTCCTGGGCTATGATCCAAAGAGGAGCCCCGGGGAGAATACAGTCAGTGCTAGAACACTCTGAAGTCCGTCTGGATTGCAGCGTGCTAAGCTCGTTGGGAATTCTTCAAAGGTGACTTTTCAGTACTCTCAAGCCTCACATGAGGAATCACCATATTTCACAGAGCTCAAAGGACACTTAATGGCTGAACCAGCCTGGCTTTTACAACCAAGGGTCACCCTTCAGCTGAACCGGCGCAAAACAACAACTAAAAAACTGGTGCTGAACTTCTCCACTTTTATATCAAAGCACATCATTGGAAGAGGGGATGAGGAGGATGTAGTCTCCTCCTGGGCTATGATCCAAAGAGGAGCCCCGGGAAGAATACAGTCAGTGCTAGAACACTCTGAAGTCCGTCTGGATTGCAGCGTGCTAAGCTCGGGGCATCCGCCTGTGGAGTGGATGCTTCCAGACTTAACAACAGTGGATCAAACTGATTCTCATAAATTAAGGCTGGAGAATTACAGACTAGTTATCAAAAACACAAGTATTGCAGACTCTGGGCTGTATCATTGCTTTGTGAGGACTGACACTAATGTGGACATCGTCCCCTATAGACTCACAGTCAGGATGCGTCTCTTAAGTCCCAGTGATTTAAATGGAAAGAAGATATCTGTGGAGAAGGGGGACACTCTTAGTCTTCCCTGTTTAGTAACTTCTCCTCATCCAATTGAGACAAGATGGTTCCTACCAAACAATCATATTTTTAAAGCGTCAGACATGAAAGGAAGGGTGTATGTATCACAGAACAACACTTTGATCATCAAAAAAGTGACTTACGAGGATGCCGGAGAGTATAGTTGTTTAGCAGCTAACCTCTATGGGGCTGATATGTTGTCTCACCTAATTGTTGTTGTTGGTGAAAAGGAAGACGCACAAAGAGGTGTTACGGTCTCGATGGGTGAATTACTGCTTTTTGAAAATGAGGACAGTGAAGGGTCAGGATATGAAGAAATCAAAAGACCAACTACTAAACTCACACCTCAGAGGGTCGATGGAAAACACGTCCGACAAAATTCAAAAGGAAAGAAAATCAAAGAGAGTGTGAGAAAACCTAATAACGCTGTCAAAGAGCTTGATCCCGGCCGCTGGGAGCAGATTCTTGCAAAAGCTAACGCTAAACTCTCAACCATGTCACCAGTTACGGCGCACCTAGAAATGACAAAAACAATGACTGAGTCTTCACTGATTACAACCAACAAAACTTTGTTGGCTGCTACCTTTAAAATGACTAAAACAGATGTTACAGCTAGCAGTACCAGCGCAAGTTCAAGCATCCAACATTTCAATGCGGAACAGCTGGAACCACCACCCCTCAATGAGCATGTACAAGAAACTACACAGGTAGAAAAATCAAAAGACAAGACAAGTGATTATAACATTTCATATTTGACTTTAGAACACATAGACTCAACAACGGTACCTGAACATGAGACTCAGCTGATAAAACAGGTAGACAGACAGACAATAGAAGAGAAAATAAGGGCTAATAATAATTCCATCTGGAACCAAAGACGAAGATTCCCATATAGGCAGCGTAGGCCTCCTTCACGTAGACCACGTCCAAAGAGACCAAATTTCACCCTAGCTCCCTCTACAGCAGTGCCATTCACTCACTCTCCAGTCAAGACACTGATACCTAAAAGTAGTGTAGCAATGACCACCAACTCTTATACTCAAGCCCAAAACAAAGATGTCACAGCTTTAATGACTTTAGAAGTTTCCCCTGCACATTACCCAGTAACCGAACGCTTTGCCATGGCAGTCACAGAGGACCCTCTTAAAGTGCCTATAACAATGTTCAGAAAAGATGAGAACTTGAATGAACTTGAAAGCAAAACAAAACACATTGAGTCAGTTCAGCTTGTAAGTACAACATCTCTGCAAGAAAATGAAGCAGTTCCTGCTACACGTGCTACACCCAGACAGATCAACAGGTATGGACATGAAAACAGAGAGATCATCTTGAGAACTAATAGCCAGGCAAATGAGAATAAGACCAGGCAGATTTTGACAACTGCCATCCCTAATCTTCAAATTAGCTACATAAATCCTCCAGAGACAAAAATAGCACATGTGACTGAGAAACCAACCTTAACTAATGTGGACCAGCAGAGAGTTTACAACTGGGCAATGCATCCTGAAGGAGTACCTATCCACCCCTGGTTAATCCAAAAGTCTACACCAAAAAAACAAATCTCCATTACACCCCATCCCTACAATCAGTTTCCCTTCTGGCCCACAGTTCATAGCTCAAAGCACCACCACTCCCAAGACAAAACATGGTATTTCCTACAAACAGGAGGCAGGGGTGCAGGGGCCACCAATCGGCCTGAAATCACTGCTCAAACAGCAAAGCCCACAACTTATATTTTGGGGTCAGTGACGGCTTCCGTTGCGAGGACCATAGCTCCACATGTCAGCTCGTCTCGTGTACGTGACCACTTACTTTTCAACAGGCTCAGAAACAGATATAGACAGTCACAGCTTGATGCATATCGACTAGCCCAGATGGGAAAGCTTGTCACTTCTAAGCCAAGGACATATCGTCCCACCCCACAGCCTCACCAAGCTCCAAATATCCCAAACATCTACAAGCCTGTGACTCCCCCATCCATCCTAGCATATACAAACAAACCAACCTTCACAGCTAGCGTACCATATGGCAGTCGCTGGCACTACAGTCAGTTTGGAGCAAAGAAATTGAGCACTGCCATTCCCTTTCCAAACCTGATGGGCAATGGCGCCAAACCCAGGATCACAACAACTGAATCCGTTACTATATCTGCTTTAGCAGAGACAGATGTGCTCTTGTCCTGTAGATCATCTGGGGACCCCAAACCTAATGTTTCATGGACCAAAGTTTCAACAGGTGATTCTTCGCTACATAATTTTTACGGCTGCATCTGTCTGAATGGAGGATGAAATTTAAAAAAAACTTTTTTAGAGCGCCCACTCCCAGCTTACCTTAGATCGCTATCAAACACTGCTATCATGCTTTATAAGTGAACTATTTCTACTTCATATGCTTAGCAGGGCCATCGCTAGGAATTCTGGTGCTTAGTCATCTATACAACAGGCTACTTAAAGCAGTTAGATAACAAATAAATGTAACATTAGGCATTCATTATTACGTCTAGAACTAAAATGTATCAAAATTAAATTGTTCACAAATGTTAAATATTGGTTCATAATCCTGCTGTGTGACTTCAGCTACAACAATAATTTAATGAAGAAGCAATAGCAACACAGCCACTAATGATGATGATGATGTGTGTTTATGTGATTTATGAGGACATAAATTGATAGGCTACTGGTATAACAGCTTAAACATATTTTATGGAGAAATTTCCTCGTAGTCCTACCATTACACCTACAAAATCAATGTGTGTGTGTGTATGTGTGTGTTTGTGAAAGAGAGATGTTAGTAAAACGTGTGTAAACCAATTTGTCTATACTGCTCTGAACTATGAGTATTCCACAAATACCCTTTATCTTTCTCTTCTCTTGTTCTGTAGGACCTATAACTCTTTAAAATTCGAGGCTTTTTAAAAACCTTTAAACCTTTTGTCAACACATTCAAAGTTTGTCTTGACAAACTTGCTTTACTATTTAAAATAACAGAAATATGAATTTATTTGGATTTCATTTTAATTGTACTGCCTTACATTCAAATTCACATTGCAATTCTACATCCTGTTTCTTAACTTAATTATTATTTTTATTATTATTTTCAATTTAAAAATTAAAATGGACTGTAAAAGACTGTAGCTAAGATGTAGGCTAAGATGTACAGTATCCCTTTCGAAACAAAAATATATGGGAATATACTGCAAAATATAATGCAGTATATTACATAATATTAAATTTCCATAAATGGGAAACTACCCTTACGAAACAAAAATATATGGGAATATACTGTGAAATATAAATCGATATTATATTACATAATACATTTCCATAAATGAGAAACTAGTGCTTATATATTTCAATATACTAGGTCTAACTCAATCTGACCTAATGACATCATCACATGGCACAGCTGATTGGTTCTCTCCTGTATCGGTAGCCAATGAGCTCGCTGCTCAACATGACTCGCGCTTGCCGTAGCAGTTGCAGCTTGCTTCAGAAACCCTCCACCTTCCCCAGCTCCACCTGTATAGATCTGCTACGAGGTGATTCACATATGCTATATAGGGTTATTTCATGTATGTTATATTTGCAGAAGCAATATTTCTTATACGCTCACAGCAGCATGTTGTGGATGTATTGGCAGTAGCAAGTCTCGGTACTTGCTCTGCCGCAGCAGCAGCAGCAGCGTAGCAGATCTATTCCACCAAGACCAACTACATTAACATTTTCATGTACATTACCATGCCAATCCCTCCGAGAGTTGTCATGACAGAAATATATATATATATATTATTACAGAGCCTGTGGTTAGGATGAAGATTGGCCAAACACCATTAAGACTATAAGTATGTTGCTTCTTTTAAAAAGTAATGGCTGTGCACTATTCAGCACAGTGATAGACTCTTTCATAAATACTTTAGTACATGTAAGTGTTCTTGTGCTATTGGTGACTAGCTATATATGAAATATATTGTAAATAATTATTGAATTTAAGAAATATATTACATTATTTATTTTATATGTATTATTCAATATATTGTTATTAACACTATATTATACTTATTTTTGCGTAAGGGATATCACAATCTAAAAAACCACGTCACACAGTCTGCTTTTTTTATGAAAGGTCTCACTTGTCTCTTATACAGTTGGACAAGCAACCTTTGAAAGGACATGGAAAATAAATTGCACAGTGTGCAGCTATCTTAAGAAGAATTCTATGAGCTCTTTTATCCTATCATTGTTAATTACTATGAAATGGTACAGCTGTCATAAAAAGATGTAAACAATTTCTCTCTTTTTGTTTTCAGTCCACAAAGACACATCACTGCTTTCCCCAATGGCACTCTGAGAATTCTGAGACTGACTGAGAAAGATGGAGGCAATTATCTGTGCATGTATCAAAGACCAAATGGTGAGGACATGGAGCTGTTCCAAGTAGAGGTTCTCATGAGGCCACCAAAGATAGAGAACACTGGGGCACAACATAAAAGAGTTGCTAATGGAGACAACTTCCTGGTGGACTGTGTAGCTTCTGGCCTTCCAGACCCTGAGGTTTCATGGAGCCTCCCAGATGGCACCATGATCAACAATGCCCTCCAGTCGGATGACAGTGGAACCCGTAACCGGCGCTATATCATCTTTGGGAATGGAACGCTTTTGTTGCAACAAATGGGAAAGAAGGATGAAGGCAATTATACATGCTATGCTAAGAACACCCTGGGGGAAGATGCAATGAAAGTAAGTGTCCAAGTCATGCCAAACTCACCCCAAATAACTTCTAAAGAGCAGGTATCCATGTGGGCACCTTTCGGGCAATCAGCCCAGATGAAGTGTGATGCTACCGGTGTGCTATCAGCTACGATCATCTGGATCTCACCAAGGAATGAGATAATACCCTCATCTTCGGTCAAATACCAAATCCTAAATGATGGGACTCTGATCATTAAAAAACTGACTTTGGCTGACCAGGGAAAGTATGCCTGTGTTGCACGGAACCCAGCCGGAGATAACATCAAGAATGTGAACCTTCTAGTTGAGGTTAAAGGCCCACAAATCAATGGACACAGTGGGCGATCAGAGAACAAACTTTTAGCAGTGTATTACCAGACTTTGCTGCTAGATTGCAAAGCAGAAGGTAAGCCTGTACCACAGATCACCTGGACCACACCTTACGGCATGTCTCTACCCACTCCATATTTAGGAGGTAGGTTCCAAGTCCACAGGAATGGCACTCTTGAATTGAGGGGCATTCGAAAGACTGATGAAGGTCGGTTTCTGTGCATAGCTAAGAATTACTTAGGGGAAGCAAGTGTAGCAGTTGACCTCAAAGTTGCATCACTTGCTGAGAAGCCAAGCTTTCCAGTGCCAAACATAGAGGTTCTTCCTCTCAAAGCAGATGGTGATGACATATCTTTGGAGTGTCGTGCTACAGGAAAACCAAAGCCAGTGTTTCTATGGATTCTACCCAATGGAACAGCACTGAATCCAGGCATGAAACTTCGGCGGTTCATTCACTACCTGGGAAATGGGACGTTACACATTACGCAGCCAGGTGTCATTGACAAAGGTGTGTATCGGTGCCTGGCTAAAAATGTAGCTGGACAAGCAGAAAAGCGCTATGCTTTAGAACCTGGACAGAAGCCTCAAATTAGAAGTACAGCTTCAACAATGAAGATTTCGTTTGGACAGACAGTAAATATGCCATGCAATGCTGATGGTTGGCCTCAGGCAAAAATTACCTGGACTCTTCCAAATGGCCTGGTCTTAGACAAGCCCCAAATTATTGGAAGAGTAACATATTTATCTAACGGCACACTTCAGGTAAAAGAAACATCCAAATTTGATAGAGGAACGTATACCTGCAAAGCCACAAACACCTTTGGATCCTCAACATTGTCATATCCAGTAAGTATTATGGTGTTTCCACCTCAAATCACTCATGCTCCACCTTCAGTAACCAGAGTTAACAGGGGGTCTCCTGTGATTCTGACCTGTATAGCTGCTGGCATACCCAAACCAGACATTTCTTGGACTCTGCCTGGACGTACCACGCTTGTACCCAATAGTCGCTTCACAGCACAGGGTGGAATTCGCATGACAGAGGAGGGAAATTTGGTCATACAGGACCCAGGCCTCATGAACTCAGGGATTTACAAATGTAATGCTAGAAATGCCTTGGGAACAGACTTCAAAGCAACATACCTTCAAGTGATCTGAGCAATAGACAGAAATCCATCAGGTTATTAAGAACACTAAATGGGAACCTTTCTTTAAAAACATAAATCATACTTTAAAAGTGCACCAATGCACTTAAAATACCCCCAACAATGTTGTTAAATAGCATTTTTCCTTAATAGTTTTTGTGAATAGCCATGGATTGTTGTCTTTGGATCTGCCCAATAACTGACCCGAGGATAAGATTTCTTTAGTATTCTATATTTAATTTATGAAATTATTGGTTTGTACATATTTATATATTCCACAGTTTAAACAGAATAATTTTTACATACTTTTTTTAACATAAATTGCACATAAAACATTCCAGAATGTCTGTGATTCGTCTGATATGTTCTGTCTGTTGAATTTCTTGCATTCTTCAGTGTATTAGAACAAAATAGCCTTGTCAGAGCAGAACGAGGCCTTGTATGGTACAAATGTTGGCATTGTGGTAGTTGTCCAAATAAATAAGACAAGAACACAGTATGTAAGACACTTACTGCTACACTGGGCAAATAAATAATAATATTTGATTTCTGGTCTTTAGTCTTTAATATCAAGTCAAATCACATTTATTTGTACAGTGCTTTATACAATAGAGATTGTTCAAGCAGCTTCACAATAATGGGAACCTAACAAAAACAGGAACATATTAATGTTGTAAAATTCATCAATTATGAAACAACATTAATAATGAAAGCAGCTTTATAGAAGGCAATAGTGTCATTATGAAGCTCGATTGAGTGCAATGTTGTTTTAATTCAGTTCAATAACTGTTAGTTGCAAAGTGCATCACTTATAAAACAAAGTCCATTCAGATGCAAATCAGCTCTACAGAAGGCAATAGTATCATTATTCGGCTCAAGTCATTTCAGTGTTGATTCAATTCAGTTCAATAACAGTGTTGATATCGCAAAGTTAGTGTCATTATCCAGCTCGATTCCTGAATTTTGTTTTCATCTTATAGTGTATAATATATAATATTACTGAATATTAATTGTCTTTTGATATATACCATTTAATTAATATCACAATTGCACAATATTACTAGACAAACAAAAGGTCATACATTCATTTTGGAATTTGGGGTGTAGGCCTACTTCATTTTAAATACAAGACACCATAATACTTAATTAAGCAATATGCATAGCATAGCATTTGTGTATCCCCATATAAAGAAAAAAAATCACAATATGAATTAAAACATTTCTTATTAACTTCTTCTAAGACCAAGCTATCTAAAACTATTTTATACACATTATGTCTATGTAGCTTACTCTTACTGTTTATTAAAGGGGTCATATGATGCTGCTAAAAAGAACATTATTTTGTGTATTTGGTGTAATGAAATGTGTTTATGCGGTTTAAAGTTCAAAAAATTTTTACAAAGCTCATCGGTCTGAAAAAGCGAGGTGTGCTGTGATTGGCCAGCTATCCAATGCGTTGTGATTGGCCGAATACCTCAAGGTTGAGATGTAAATGTTATGCCCCTCACATACTGTTGATGCCGTGACCGGCCGGAGCGACAAGACAAAAACATTAAAACCCATTACAAACGAGGCATTTGTTGCATCCAGTGGGGACATAATTACTGATTATAATGACTTATACTGTCTTTTTACGCGTTGCGTTGCATTGCATCGCGCCGCGTAAACATAAAACCCTGTCTGCATTTGTGATCAGAGAAATTACAAACAAGTGCTACTCTACACTGCCCAAAACTCGCGTTTGAATCATCAGTGGCAAATCCTTTAAATTAAAACGTACTTACGTGAATCAGAACTGCCGGCATTGTAGTCTAATGGCGCTTTTCCACTGCATGGTACGGCTCAGTATGGTTCATTTGAATTCAGTCAGTTGAGTTGATTTAACCCTTTAATATATAATCTGTTAAATCAAAAACAAAAAAATATCATTGTTTCTTTATATATAAGTAAAATTCAAAGCTGTGACACGTTGGGTTGGAAAGTGGTGGAAAATTTCCCGGAAACTTTCCAAAAATCCCTGGAATATCCCAAAAAATCCTGGAAAGTTTCCAAAGTTTCTGGAATGTTTCCTAAATTTACTGGAAAATGTTCCACCTTTTTGTAACCCTAGTGACACAGTTATTTGGATTTAGCATCACAGCCTGAATTAAAAATGGCTTTTTAAAGATGTCCAAAGCAGATTTATTTATTGACCTTCTAATCCATTTCTGTCTGATGCATCAGTTTTCTCGTTTTAACTTCTCTCCAACATTGAAATGTGTTGTTTGTCTTGTTTCTACATTGACAGGTGCAAGTATGGGACACAGCGGGCCAGGAGCGCTTTCGGAAGAGCATGGTGGAGCACTACTACCGCAATGTGCATGCTGTTGTATTTGTATACGACGTCACAAAAATGGCCTCATTCCAGAACCTAAAGACCTGGATTCAGGAATTTAGGGCACACTTTACCACTTAAGCAATCTTTAAAGGTCTGAAGAAACGTGACATTTGTTAGATTTAGTCATTTGTTTCCATCACACATTTGTTTGGATTGATACAATCAATCCAAATATTACTTAGTGGAATATGGCATAGCATCTCCAACATAATTGGCTGATGGTCTTAATGTTTTAGCTGTCAGGAACTGCACATATTGTAGAATCTAAACCTTCCAGTTGTACATGAGTCACAATGATCATTTAAAATGTTTGTATTGCCTCAAAACATATTAATTTGCCACCATTGCAAGTTATTTCTCATAGCCTTGTGGTTACTCACTGCTAAAATATTTTTTAATATTTCTCCCTCACTAACTGCATGGATACATTTGAAACCTGTTCAAATTATGAAACTATATTCTGATGATAAGCATTAAATAGTGACCCAAATGTTAATGGAATCTGATAACACTCATAATTCACCACATGCTCATTTCCATGCACCTTGGGAAAGAGTGAAACCATGTGGGAAGTTTTATGTAGCATCACAGTATTTCACCAGCTTAAGGTGGTTCTTCCAAATACATAAACACTTATGTACAAAAGCAAGGTTCAAACAGGCCAGTGATTGTTAGATTTCTATTCAAAAGACCCAGAAAATAATGATTTTAACAGTATGAGTGTTTCTGTGGAAGGGGTTGCTGATAATGTGGAAATGTTGATTATGGATTGTGCGAGTGCAATTTGGTGCCCCTGTGATTGTGATTGTTTTTGTGTAACCTCTATCCTCTGCTTATTCAGTACTTTTGGTTCTTCAGGAGAAGTTGCAGTTTTCTGTGTGGTTTCAAATGCTTTCAGATTCGTAAGAGAATTCTCTGGTTTCAACCGTGTTAGCCTTATATCTGCTGAAGAGATTGAAGCCTTATGATTTGTCTTGTTTTGTGCCCTTGTATGCTGTGTGACATGTATGTATGTTTGATTTTGAGCACCAAATTAAATCTCAGATATCCTGAAGCACTGAATCTTTTAATAGCCGAGAAATGCTTTAAAACATTAACTGTTACTGGAGTTCATGTTTTAGAGAAAAACACGCATAGGTGTTTTTCCAATGTACAACACAATGCTGTTAATTAACATATTATGCTGAAAAGAGTTCTAAACTAACCATGATGCATTTGTAAAATCCTATTCAGCAGAAAGTATTCATTGATTAATTAAGGACAGTATCAACAATGCTAATAGACAAAGAGCATGCAACAAAAATCCTGCTGTCATAAATAAATATACAAATTTGCAAAGAATAAAGGGAGTTAAACTGATTTTTTTGAGAGTGGAAGGCCTAATTTTTCACTGTACTAAGTATAAACCAGTGCAAAAAGAAATAATAAATCTTATGTAGAGTGCTTATGTAATCAGTTTTATGTTCAAATAAATACAGGCTGCAGAATATTAGACTGGTACTCACATTCACAGGCCATAAATTTAAAAGTAAAATTATACTTTATTCAAAAGTGCCATACTCTGATGAAAATTACAAAACATTTTGTATTTATTGCATTTCAGAAGCAATGTTTAAGGTATTTGCATATCTATTGAATAATGTCTTCCAGAAATATTTCAATGTCATATTTTAAAGTTAAACACATAATAATTACATTTGCTGCCTCTAACTGTTAAGTCTTAATATCGAGTACAATATGCTAAAAAATCACAAAAAACAACAACAACATAATTAACAGATAAATGAATATAGCCTACTCATTCTCTTAAAGGGATAGTTCACCCAAAAATGAAAATTACCCCATGATTTACTCACCCTCGAGCCATCCTAGGTGTATATGGCATTCTTCTTTCAGACGAATACAATCAAAGTTATATTAAAAAACATCTTGGCTCTTCCATGCTTTATAATGGGAGTGGATGGTAGCCCAAAATTTGAAGTCCAAAAAATTTAACCAATCCATTATAAAATAAGTCCACACGGCTCCGGGGGGTTAATAAAGGCCTTCTGAAGCGAAGCGATGCGTTTGTGTAAGAAAAATATCCATATTTACAACTTTATAAACCTTAATCTCTAGCTTCCGCTACCTGTCGTTAGAAGACCTTTTTGAAGGATATTGTTCTTTTTTGTTTGTTTGTTTTTTTGTTATGTAATTTTGAGGTGTTCAGTTTAATTTGGATTTAGAAAAAAAAACGTGATTGCTCTCCTCACAAATCAACTCTTTCTTGTTTTTGTTTCAAGCTCTCTGTGCCTTGCCCTGGACTTTTATGTCACTTCCTGTCTCCCGTGGTGTTTGTAGTCAGTTTGTAGTCCGTTTGTTTATTGGTTCCCCTTGATTAGTCTCCGCAGGTGTGTCTTGTTATCTTGTTAAGCTTGTTAGCCCCTTGTGTGTATATATAGCCTTAGTTTTTTTTTAGTTCCTTGTGAGTTGTCGAATGTAATGGTTGTCTGTTTTCCAGTCATTCTGTTCTTTGTTCCCGTTGGTTTTTGGCTTGTTCTTGTTTTTCCATTAAATACCTGCACATAAATCCATACCTCTGTCATTTTCCCCAGCTTCTCCATAACATTACAGTTTTTCACTGGCATGTCTCCTTGACCAGTGCATTTTTCTAGCCTATATTTAGTTAAAGTAAAATACTTAAGTACTGTTAAAATCAGATACTCTAAGACTTTTACTCAAGTTGTTGGTGACTTGTAACCTGTAGTGGAGTAATTTTCACTGTAAGGTATCTGTACTTTTACTTAAGTATGATTTTAAAGTACTCTTTACACCTCTGTTATAAATACTTTCATTCATCTTTTAGTTGCAACATGTGTTTGTACTAGACGTCCATTCCTCCCCTGTCATGTACTTTGATGAACACGTGGGGCGCTAGAGCCGAAAATCTGAAATGTGTTGCGGACACACTTCACCAGTAGATGTCGCTGTTTCCCACGCTCTCCATCATGACTCAGCGGGGGAGACTTTTAATTTGAAACATATTTGGTCACTTTACCCTGTTTCACTTGGTTCGTGTTTTAGTTCGGCGGCGGCGGTGGTAACGGCAGCGGGAGCAGGGCAGTGAGTGCGGTTCTGTCGCCGTGGACGGGGCCGGAGATGGCG